GTCCAGGTGGGTTTTGAATGTCTCCAGAGGGGGAGACTCCACAACCTCTCTGGGCAGCCTGTTCCAGTGCTCCACAACCCTCAAAGTAAAGAAGTTCCTCCTCATGTTAAGATGGAACTTCCTATGTTCAAGTTTGTGCCCGTTACCCCTTGTCCTATCACTGACGGTTGAAAATTAAGAACACAGACAAAATTATTATAAGGACATGCTAAGTCTCTCTTCTTCAGCCCACACTCTGGAGAATCATGAGTGCAGATATTGAACTTTTCCATTACAGGTGGATTACATCTGACACCCCTTGTGACCACGGAATCTGTCACAAAGCAGCTCCCATGTACCCACTGCAGCAGAGCAGGGCTGAGTCCTCAGCAGCACAGGGGCAGAGGTCCTGTTCCTCACACCACACTCAGCCAACACCAACCAGAGAAAGGAAATGCATTTCAAGTGGGGTGATGTCTGTGGAAACTGGAGAGGCTTGGCTCAGAGGTGTCTATCCCAATTTTTCCCTTTCCTTTCCGTTTTTGAACAGAAGCCCCATGCAAAGTAGTAGCAAATGTCCAACAGCAGCTCCATCACCCACTTCCTCCTCCCGGCATTCACAGACACACAGGAGCTTCAGCTCTTGCACTTCTAGCTCTTCCTGGGCATCTACCTGGCTGCCCTCCTGGGAAACGGCCTCATCATCACCACCATCCCCTGTGACCACCGCCTCCACACCCCCATGTACTTCTTCCTCCTCAGCCTCTCTGTTCTTGACCTGGGATCCATCTCCACCACTCTCCCCAAATCCGTGACAAATTCCCTGTGGGACACCACAGACATCTCCTATGCAGGATGTGCGGCACAGCTCTTTCTGTTTGGCTTATTGCTTGGAGCAGAGTTTTCCCTTCTCGCCGTCATGGCCTATGACCACGTTGCCACCTGCCACCCCCTGCACTACGGGACCCTCCTGGGCAGCAGAGCTTGTGTCCACATGGCAGCAGCTGTCTGGGGCAGGGGGTTCCTCAATGCTGCGCTGCACACAGCCAATACATTTTCACTCCCCCTCTGCTGGGGCAATGCCATTGACCAGTTCTTCTGTGAAATCCCCCACATCCTCAAGCTCTCCTGCTCACTTTCAGACTACTTCAGGGAAGTTGGGCTTCTTATATTAAGTTGTTCGTTAGCTTTTGGGTGTTTTGTTTTCATTGTGCTGTCCTGTGTGCAGATCTTCAGGGCCATGCTGAGGATCCCCTTGGAGCAGGGACAGTACAAAGCCTTTTCCATGTGCCTCCCTCACCTGGTTGTGGTCTCCCTGTTGATCAGCACTGGCATGTTTGCCTACATGAAGTCTCCCTCCATCTCCTCCACAGTTCTAGATCTGATGGTGGCAGTTCTGTATGTGGTGGTGCCTCCAGCAGTGAACCCCCTAATCTACAGCATGAGGAACCAGGAGCTCAAGGATGCCCTCTGGAAACTCTTTGAATACAATGTACTTAATTTTATTAAGGTGCCCAATGTGCAACAAGGTCTATCTTGGCAAGACTGGCCAAGAAACAATTCCAAACACAAGAAAACCTCAGTAAAAACCCATTGAAAACCCAGTAAAAAAGCCAAGGAAAAACCATTTAAAAAACAAAAAAATGCTCTCCTCTCTGGTTTGGTACTTTTGAGGCTGCATGCGGATTCCTGTGTCCTATTCTGCTTCCCCCAGGGCAGGAAAGACACTGACACACATGGCGAGGGCCCAGCCCAGTGCCTTCGGGATGGTTAGGGGCCGGGGCACAGGGCACACAAGGGCAGGCTGAGGGAACTGCCCCTGGGAAGCTGGGAGAAGAGAAGCTTCAGGGCCGGCTCTGACTGCTCCTCTGCCAGCACACTGCAATTGTTTTCCTCACCCAATACCACCTACAAATTCATCCTGCTTAGCTCCCACATGCACTTCACTAGTGCTCCTTTTGGTATTCACAACAGCAAAGGAGAGGTTGATTGCCCCCACCTTGCTGCCCTGCTCTCTTGGCTGGGATACAAGCCACGGGCTCATCTCTCCTGCCTGCTTCCTGACTCTTACTGATCAAAGAAGTAGTTTGGGAGCATTCAAATGTGAGTGTGCTTCACCAATGTGCAGGGAAGCAGCATCGCATCTCTCCTTCATGAGACATGGGAGACAAAAGCTTCCACTTTGTGGTAGGAAGAAAAGAAGGGGAAGAAAAGATGGAAGTGGGGCTTTGCTGTGAAAACTGGGTCTTTGCTCCCGCTTGCTTTGCTGCCACGTGGAGCCATGGAGCCAGCACAGGTTACTGGAGCCCAGGGCTTGCAGCAAACCAGGGAACACACTCAACTCACATTCTGGGTGCACCTCAGGGACTTCCTATCAACATATGCCCTCTGGTGCCCTGTGGGCCATCCCCTTATTGGAAAACCAAAAATTTTGTCAGTGACAGTTTAAAGAAAGAATTTTGGTGGGTATTTTTCGGAGGGAAGGGCAAATTGCATCCCTTGAAACCAGGCTGGGCAGACCTGCACAAGCCAAAGCCGGTGCTGTTGGAGCAGAGTTTGTCTCGGTGGCATCGCAGCAGGGTGTGCAGGCATCTACTGAAACAGGGGCTCCAGCACGCTGTGAGGCCGGGGGCCTCGTTTCAGCCACTGACCCATCTCTTCCCATCCCCACAGAGTGCTCTGAACTGCCACTCGCTGACCATTGAAGCGAGTGTGGAGGAGCCAGAGCCTGTGCTGCTGCAGGAACACCCCTGTGCATGCCAGGAGGAAGGAGCCAAGCACGTTTCTCTCCCTCCTGCTCCCAAGATTTGCACTTTTGGTGGCTGGATACCACATTGCCCCATCTCAGCAACAAAGCAGGACCGGTTTGGAGCTGGTGTGTGAAGAGAGGAGAGGTGATGGGGAGGGAGGTACTAGTGCTTGTGACTGCAAGAGGTGCACAGGTCTCCGGCGGGGACTACTCCAGGTGTGTATGTATGAGGTTTATTTCAAGAGATGAGCTGTGGCTGAGGAATGAGTGAAGGCTGCTGTATTGGAGTGCAGCCACTCCTTCCACTCCCGGCACCTAAGCATTCACACATTTTGGAAAATCTCACCGTCCATTTAGTGAGAAGTGGCTCAGTCCCACAGGATGTGGCTTCCAAGCGCCCCAGAATTCCAGCCCCAGAGCCAGAATCCCCTTACCATGGCAGGAGCACATCGCAAAGGTGTCACTTTCCTGGACACGGCCACACTGTGTCCATCAGAGGCGACCTCAGCACAGCCAGAGGCTCATCCCCCCTGTGCTGTCCCCCGGATCCCTCTCTGGGGCTACACAAAGTGCCCCCGCCGGGTTGGGGGGGGGAAAGAGCTCTCTGTGCTGCCCATGTCCCCCCCTCC